TTACCACATCTAAATTTTAACTTGTGTTAATTCAGTTATATAGTCGACGTTCACCATCTAAATTTTAACTTGTGTTAATTCAGTTATCTAGTTGACGTTCACCATCTAAGTTTAACTAACCAACAAAATCTCTTACAACATAAATAGAAATAACATCCCAATACTTCGACAACATCTAGATCTAACATAACATAGCATAATATTTAATGAACTATGAATGTTCAATACTGAAACAAAACAATAACGTTTGTGAAATTGTAACTATGTATAGCAGCAGGGCTGGATCTATTAGGAGCTGATCGGGTTCTCGTACATCCGCTCCCTCGATTACTACAAGAGAAAAAGATTAGCTGTCTGAAAGATGCACTCGCTTGATTTTGAGGGGTGCCCTTAAATACTTTGAAACCTAATTTATAATGGAAATTAAGCATGAGAGGAATGGTTGGATTACCGCTCTACATGTAAGTGGTCATGAGATTGAATCTTTCAAGTGAAGTTTAATTTTTTGTCTTTTAATTTTAGACTACAGGGCCAGCACATTTACTCGGTACTATCACTGTGTCAAGACAACTTTTTGTTAACTTTAATCCCGTTTTGATTTTATTATTTGTTTTCATGAGTTATTTTCCTTTCCGAAATCAAGTCTTTTAAAAATTCTCGTTCTTTATCTCATTTTCAAAACAACATATATTTATTTTAAGGGTCAAGTTCAATTTCATTTGAAAAAATGTATTTTATTCTCTAAATCGACAAAATTGACTTTTCCCTATAAACCACGTTGACTTTCTATCCATGTCAAACCGCGATTTTTTTACGGACAATTGATTCACCTTAAAGGTGCACCCGCTTAAAGAAATTCCTGAGTCTGCCATTGTATAGCAGTGGAGCGTAGTTGCACATTCTAGCCCTTTTTTTGACCATTCCAACTACCAAACTCTTCATTTTTCTTGCGTTACAACAATACCAACGTGTATATTAATCAACGATGTGTTTAATCAATCTTCTTCGATTCAACGCCCTTAAGGCCTTGTATTCAACTCCATTAACATACCAACTCTTTTTGTAACATCATAAGCAACTAATGGAACCCAAAAAGAAAACATAAGCTTTCCATAGAAACAACTCGAATTCAATAGAGTTCTTAGTGAACCACACTGATTTCTTTACTTCTCGATTCGAGTCCGTGCCAAAAATTGTAGGACTTGTTGGGATTTTGCATCTAACACGGTAAGCACATCTTATGTGCACCATGAAAGAATTCATGGGTGAAAATGATACGAGACAACTCGCGAGCTACTCGAGATCGACTTGGTCAAAACTCGGTCAACACTCGACTTGAATAGGCTCGACTCAAACTCAAACTCAAACTCAACTCGACATATTAACGAGTCGAGTCAAGCTACCCAATACTCGACTTAGGAAGTTCGTAAGATACTCATTTTTTTTATATATAATTAGTTTTAAAAATATAATCAGCTTTATAATATAATATGCATGTATAATATAATGTAATAAAAATGTCTTACATTTTTAAATATATTTGAACAATATTGTGCATTTTTAACTATAAAAACTAATCAATAGTTTTTTCTATTAAAATCATAATTAAAAAAGATAAAAAAAAAACTATAGAAGTTTTGTGAAGTTGTCTCACGATGGAAGAGAGATAGTAAGAAAAAGATAAATATATGTTATAAAAAGAAAGAGAGGTGAATGAAGTTTGTAACTTTGTCTTTTTATGATGAAGTTTGAGGTGTATCCCTTTAGTTTTTTAAAATTTAAGAGAACATTTTTTGAGTTTTATAATTTATAAGAGAATACCCTAAAATTTCATAAATTTCGACATGTGAGCTTAATTTGAGTTCGAGCTTGATTCGAGTTCGAATTGGAGCTTGATTCGAGTAGGAGTTCAAGCTTCAAACGAATTCGAGCTCGAGCTCGAGTTTAAGTTAAAAAAAATTGCAATCAAGTTTGAATCAAGTTTAGTTTTTAACCATTTGTGAGTTTTCGAATCCAGTTCGAGCTTGAGAAATTGCTATCGAGTTTAGTTTTTAATTATTTGCGAGTTTTCGAGTCGAGTTCGAGCTTGATAATCGAGCTCGACTCGCATCATTTACATACTTATGAAAGATCACACAGTGCGTTAAAAAGACCAAATCAAATGTCATTCTTTTAACAAATTCTTATTAATACTAATAACATAAGAACCAAAACGTTAATAAATAATTATTTTAGACAAATTATGCAAATAAAATCAATAGTCTAAAAATCTAAAATGGGGGTTCTAAAAAGTAGCCTAGGAACAAATTTTGTAATTTCTAACATTTGGGTACAATGTATAATTTTTAGGCCCGAATTTACTGCCAACATTATTCGTTTTATTATTTGACCATACGAATTATATCAACAAATATTATACTCAATTTTCTTGTATCATTAAGGGTAAAAATGTCCTTTTCTAAGACTATATGCGTTTTTCATTATGAACATTTATTTTGAAACGAAGAGAATAATTTTACTGTAATAAAAAGAGAATTTTTTTAGCGTTTCCGACCTTTTAAACCTAAATCGAGGGTTTGAAATGAAAACGTCAAACGACGAGGCCTATAAGTTGGTGGTGCAAATAAATGGTTATGGCCCTACTAAATAGGGTGAGCCCGATGACTTTTTAAACGTGCATTCTTTAAGTTATGACACATTTTAGGAGCATCTATAGATCTAAATATTTATAGCTAAAGGTTGATTTATTTATAAACATCCTATTTAATACGGCCATTTAATGAAAAGACGTTGGAAGGGTAGAATGGTCAAAAAGAGCTTCTAAACATTTCTTAAAAAATTTCCTAAAAAGAGCTCCTGAAAACTTTTCCATTATCTAATTTGTTTCATAAATAAATCTTAAAATCAGATGCTAAAAATTACGTTAAGAAAATCTATTACAAAAAATACGAAAAACTCGTGATTGTATGGTTTCGTAAATGAAAAAACTCATGAGTTCATGGTTTTGTGATACGAAAAAACTCGTGATTTCATGGTTTTACGAACACAAAAAACTCATGATTATTGGAATGATTTTAAGATTCCATTGATGGCGAAAACAGTCAAGATTTCATTTGTTTTTCATCATGCAAAAACTCATGATTTTGTGTGTTTCATTTAACGAAACACACTCAACAGCAGAAGCCTAATTCGAACCCGCCATTGACGAAGAAACGCAAACAAAGATTACTGCATAATCGACCAGATAATTTACAAAAAGAATAATTAAAAAATTCATAAATATCCCAAAATATTGATTAAATAGTAAAAAGACACTTTTGCCCTCAAACCCAAAAAAGGGAAAATTCTCATTGGTTAGGAGAGGGTTACAAAGTTTCTAAAAATGCAATTATTTACATATGGTCCTTACCCTATATAACTAATAATTTATTTATTTATTTATTATTTTATATAATACAGATGCTAACTCAGGATCTTTAATTATCAAATGTTGTTTAATCATTAACTTTAATTTTCTATTTTAATATAAATCATATTTTTTTAATAAAGAGTTGTATTAATTTTCCATCATTAATTTATATTATATTTGTACATCTTAGCATATTACAGGGGTACATGCCCTTTGTGATAGGAATGTTCAAAAACCCGACCAACCCGATCAACTCAACCCAATATAACATGAAAAAATTCAACCCGAAACAATCTGATATCTAACCGAGTTGTAAAATTGTCAAACCGTAGGTATTTGGTTGATATTGGGTTACTATTATTTGAACTCAACCCAACCCGATATCCTTTTATTTCTTGGATTTAATATGATTGTTGAATTTCTATTAATATGTACATTAGACAATTACACTATCATGTATGTTTTTCATATGCAAATATTTTCAATTTATTCACATATTTATATAACTCATTCGTATATATGTTCAGTAATTGTGAACATATATATGTAAATTGAGAAAACTAACTGAATGTGATATACGTAAAAAGTATGGATAAGTTGTATCAAATGGTTGATGATGAAAAAGAAATTATGAGTAGAGAAATAACATATTCTAGATTAGAATAATATTTTAATGTACCAAAGTATCAACCCGACTAACCCGACCAACCCATACGGGTTGGGTTATGTTGCACTTTGGTTCGAGTTGGGTTGGGTTAAGATTTTTAAAACCGTAAGTATTGAATTGAGTTGTTTAAATGTCTTCAACCCGACCAACCCAACTCATGAACATCCATGTCTTGTGATACAAGAGAAATATAATTTTTTTAAAATAAAAATTAATACAATTTTTGGTTAAAAAGTTAAAATATAGTTGAACATAAATGAATAAATATATTAAATTATTTATATTCTACTTTTTATTTAAAAATGTTGTAAACGCATATTCTAAAAACATAGTAATTATAAAATCTAGAGAAAAATTTATAAAAACCTAATATGAAGAATTAGTTTTATGAAAGAATAAACTGTTAAAATTTTCCGTTTTGAATGATTAAGTCTTTAAACTATTTTTTAAATGAAAAAATCATTAAATTTTCTCATTTTGAATGATTAATGGTTTTTTCATTCAAAAAATAGTTCAGAGGCTTAATCGTTCAAAATGAGAAAGTTTAATGGTTTTATCATTTAAAAAAATAATTTAAGAACTTAATCACTTAAAATAACATACTTATGTTCATGACGTTTTTTGAACTTTTCTATAACAACTAAGGGGGTGTTTGGAATTGCTTATAAAAATAATTTATTAACTTATTCCGGTATGATACCGGTAATAAACATTTTTAAATGTTTGAATAAACATTATATCGGTGTCAAACCGGTAATAAAGAATTTTTGAAAAAATTAAACTCTTTTAACTTATAATAAATTAATAAATGTTTTTATAAAAAAAATAAATTATTGCAAATAAACAATCTAAAAGACCTTAAAATATGGAGGGAGGGAGAGGGAGAGAGAGAGAGAGAGAGAGAGAGAGAGAGAGAGAGCATGTTCTAGTTGCTTCGGGATAAATATATACGTTACAAGTTACAAAGGGTTGTTATACACATTCAGGCTAGCATCGGAGGTGAAAGTCGCCGATGTAGTGTAGCAGCCTATACGAATCTAGAAAATCGAGCTCCACAGCAATGGCGTGTGCTAGGTTTCTCACTCTAAAACCCATCCATGGAACGTCGACGCTCTCTCAGTTTCACCGTCCTCGAATTCAAACCTTCTGCAAGGTTAGGGCTTTTTCCGCCCTCATGTCACCGACGTCTACAGCGGTCTTCTATGAGAATCACGGTCCTCCAGATACTGTCACAAAGTCATATACTCTCTTATAATAAGCTGGCTTTCTATTACATTTTCAATTAACAAATGCTGAAACTGTTATATCTGTGTGCAGAGTGATCGAACTTCCTCCGGTTGAAGTTAAAGAAAATGACGTGTGTGTTAAAATGCTTGCTTCTCCGATCAATCCATCCGACGTTAACAGAATTGAAGGTTTGAAATGGCACATATGTATCCGATCTTAGTAGTATTTATTTAAATACCATAATTGGACAGACCACTCTGGCACTCTCAATCCTATTTTCAATTTGCATAAATTTCTTTTTATAAATTGCTAGAAATGCTTTTGATTGATTCTTAAACCGGCAAAAGTGTGATACGGTTGTCGGTGGAATTTCTTTAATAACATATGTCCTATATCTTCATTATCATGAACGGTGGATGCTATGTGTTTTTCGGTTCATTAATCCTTTGCCAATAGTTACCAGATGGAAGCACAAACAATCTCTGTAATATGTTTAGCTATAAAAAAGAAAAGGCAGTAAGGATAGTGTTAGTTTGAAATTTCATGCTTTGGACTCAAGTGTCTATGCTATTAGCAATTCAACAATCTGTTCTGTAGTTCAAAGCACATAATGTTCATTTCTCGATGTTGGTACCATTTTACAAAAAGAGCTCAATGCTCATAATCTCTTGGATAGCATTTGGTTTTTCTGCTTTGCTCTTCATAGTTTCACACTCAGCCATCACGTTCACATAATCACATGCCTTTCTCCATATTGCTCACATCGACTCAAAATCACTCACCACATTCCTCCAATTATCATCCTCAAGATATCCTGGGGGTAGTTATCCATTGATATGCTATCTTGATACTAGGTTCTTGTTGATATAGACAAGGAAGCTGGGTGCTTTAAAATTGTAGTCTAGAATGCAAAATCACTGAAAATTTTCGTTTATGAAGATATGAGCTCTTTGGGTTGTATTTGGATGGTGCATTTTTTATTAACTGCCTGGTGCATATGTATATGATTATTGAGATCTTACGTGCATTGATCTTTTATATGGCCTTGTAGGTGTCTACCCTGTGAGGCCACCGGTGCCTGCTGTTGGGGGATATGAGGGTGTTGGAGAAGTACACTCTGTAGGCTCAGCAGTACAAGGTCTTTCTCCAGGAGATTTGGTCATGGCGTCCCCACCATCAGCTGGTAGACTCTTCATTCTTGCTATCATGAGTTTTTCTAAATTATATAGTTTATGCCATGCTCTTTAGTTCCACTTTAAAAGAAATCCAACTTTTGATTTCAATTAATGATGATAGCCTCTTTCTACAATATGATACACATACAAATCATGCCATTGGTTTTGCATCATGCATCATGCATAGTTGAAACCAAACCTGAGAAGATGAAAACAAGAGAAAGAGGAGGGAAGGGACAAGCCTTCATGCATCTGGGACCCACAAGCTAGTATCTGGTGAAGGCTCATGGCGTCAATTCAATGCCCAAGTATCTTCTATCAGCTATATGAATCTTCTTGAATTTCAGCATCCATGTTTGTATGGAAGTAATCATATCTTTGATTATTACAGGATCCATGTTTGATTGTCTTCTTCTATCACAGACATTGCCTTTTATAATAATATATTCTCAATCATAGTATGATTCTTTTGAAGTACAGTTATCATCATACAATTATGTGTAACACATATCCTAGACCATATCATCCCAAGAAAAAATTTCTGAGGTGACAACAGAATGACAGATACTTCTCTTTCGAAGAGCTTTCCCTTTAAACGGTGGACCTCAAGTTCTAAGAAAATAAAAAGAGGGAAAAATATTTGTAGAAAAAACGAAACGAAGTATAAAATTAGATTCCCAATTTAAATTGCTAAAGCTTTTGGTCAAGATGTATTAATTGTGAATAATTACTTTCAGTTGCTAGTGCTTGTCTTCAGTGGAATGTTTCACAAAGTTCTCTTTCTAATAGTATTAAGTTTCTGCTGACCACACAATATTTTCTTCTTAGGGACATGGCAGACACATGTTGTTAAAGATAAAAGTTTGTGGCACAAAATTGATAGATATACGCCAGTGGAATATGCTGCCACAGTCACAATTAATCCTTTGACTGCCTTAAGGATGATAGAGGACTATGTGGAACTCAAAGCAGGTGCTACACTGTTTGGTGGCATTATATTTGCATATTATAATGTGCTTTTACCTGACGAGTTGTACATGAATAGGAGACGCAATTGTGCAAAACGGAGCAACCAGTATGGTTGGGCAATGTGTCATTCAGCTTGCTAAAATTCGTGGCATTCATACCATTAATATCATAAGGGACAGGTTAATAACCAATCGTCTTTCTATGTTTTAGGCCTACTTTTACCAAAGAAAAGTAATACTTAGGCTTACTGTTTTAACTGTTTCTTAAACTGATTTATGGATTGTGTTCACTTGTAGGACCGGGTCAGATGAAGCGAAAGAGAAACTCAAGAAACTTGGTGCTGATGAAGTGTATACTGAGAGCCAGCTTGAAGTGAAGAATATTAAGAGTCTTTTGGTATGTTTTTATTTGAATCTATTAATTAGTACAATTTGTTGTTATTCGTTCATTCTTTCAGCCGTCTAGCATCCGAACCCCCAACAACACCACATGGACCTTGTGTAGGAAAGGGGTGCCTTTACAACTATGCTCAACTTGGTCTCCTCACACACTTCTTGCTCATGTTCCAGGGTAATGTACCTGAACCTGCTTTGGGATTTAACTGTGTTGGTGGTAATGCTGCTTCTTTGGTACTCAAATTCTTAAGGTGAGAGTAAGCTTTATATATATCATCTTGTTCTAAGGTATTCCTTCAATTAGAATACTAATAATGGTTTCAGGCAGGGTGGAACGATGGTGACCTATGGTGGAATGGCTAAGAAGCCTATAACTGTATCAACTTCGTCCTTCATATTTAAAGTATGTAACCAGTTTATCATCCATTGGTATCTGATGATCAAAGTTATCACCTGCAAGATATTGCTTGTTCCTTGTAAATTTACAAAATGATAAAAGGTTTTCTTAACTTTTATACTCTTAGCAAGATGCTTTTTTGGATCAAGGGAATAATAATTGAACTTGTATTAAGCTCGGTTCTACCACCCTAATAAGATCAACTATGGTGGCATCTTAATAACCGTGTGTATGCCTTCTTTTTTTCTCCACAAGAAAAAGAAACAAGTATATATTTTTATTTACACAAGTGACTAGCGGGTTAAGTAGAGTGTTGAATTGGGACCAAGACAAAAAAAGTTCTTTGATCGAAAAGTTATAGATTTTACAATGTTGAAGATTTTAAGATCTGGACGGTTCTTTTCCTAAAAGAGAGGATGTGTATCATCTCCCATGTTTATTCCATGGGTAGTAGTAGTAGTAGTAACATTCGTGGGTGTCATACATTTGATAAGAAATGGAATACCTTTTGGAGAACAAGCTTAATTCCCTGCAAAGGGGTGGTGGCTTCCTGAAATGCCAGAAACCAAAAGAAGTTGGAAAATCAATCCTATCCTCATCCACATATATGTGAAGACTAACACAGGATACAAGTTTTTTACCCAAAAAACAACTCAGAACACAAATTGGAGGACCCCTTTTTTGAAAGCTATCAAGTTTTAATATCCTGTACCTTTCGTATGTACATGTTTATGCTCATAATTGTGAAAACAGCCACTCTATTCGTTAGAGTAGAGGTTAGGTCTGCGTACATCCCACCACCCACAACCCCACCTCTGAGTTGGATATGTTGGGTTAGTTTGGTTTTTGTTTATGCTCATAACTCATATATTGCAGGAGCTTTCCTTGAAAGGATTCTGGTTGCAAAAATGGATTAGTGCAGGTAAAACAGAAGAGTGCAGAGAAATGATAGATTACCTTTTGGGCTTGGTTCGTGAAGGAAAATTGAAATATGAGTAAGTCGTTTATTCATGTTGTCTGTTATATTTTCTTTGAAATTAGAGAAGCATTAAGCATGCATATGTTTCAACGGTATAAAAAATCGAATAGCATTCTGAGATTCAATCCTGCAGCGACAGTTCCAATCAGACCATGTTAGACCTCATGGCTCCTTGAGCATCTTCGGTAACCTGAAACACGACCTGATGGTCATTTTATGTGTTGTGGCCACATTTAAGTGTGGTTTCTTGAATACTGAAGGCCCTCTTTCCAGAAATTTGTTACAGGCCATCTCCGGTGGTTGTAATTTTCACAAACTTTACATTGACAAGTCACTAGATCCTTCTCATTTCTCTTGGCTATCAGGTGCCATTGAACTAGGCGTTCTAAGCAATTCGCGTTCAGCATGTGCCTTATATGACTAGGGTAGCTGGATGGTTGTCTGTGTTTCCTTACTTTCTATATGTTTCATTCTGCCTTTCCTATTTGCTGCTTTTCTTTCTTCTTCCTTCCGTTTTGCTCACACTGTTGCACACGCCGGGGTCTTGGGGGAAACAACTACTCTTATCATTTGGGGTAGAGGTTGTGTTGTGCAGAGATTCTAAGATAGAGGGTTGGAAGGAGGTGGCACATAAGCACAGAGCCTCATGATATAGATAGAAAGTTGTTTTAGTTTTTCCTTTTCATGCCTTGTCTACGTGCGTCTTATTTCTTCTTGTTTTAGCCCTATGCTTCTTCATGCTCAAGTAGTTGTCAGTACTGCAATCTGTGATTCCTTGTTTGTTTTATCTTTTGTCCCTTGTGCGCAATTGGATAATTCAAATTGAAGCAATTGGATAACTAAAGTTTAGTAATCCAACCCAAAAAAGGGAAGAAAAAAAATTATTAACCTGGATATCCAACCCGCTATGCGAGCCGACTAATCCCAGGGCGACCACCTGCTTTCCAGATAGTCTGGAGTCACCGTATTTGAACCTCCGTGGCCATAAGGGGATTTTTGTTTCTCCTTGGATTTGAACCTAGGACCTCCTGGTACTTTTGACATTTGGAGTCAAACTCAAACCAATCAGGCGATTATAATCCACTTTTGGGAAGAAAAAAAAAAGGAAAATTTTATCTTATTGTGAAAGACGAATAAGGCATACTGATTGACACCACCACGCGAGTAATCAAGTACGACAGCGGATTTTCCAACAAGCCTTACAAGGAGCTCTAGGAACTATAAATGAAATATCTGTGATAAAAAATGAAATTATAAAAAGCCTTTTGTTTGTTTATTGTTCCATTTCCCGTGGAGTAAAATTCTCATCAGTACGAGTCCCCTTCTTTTTGTGTTCACGTATTTATTATGTGTTAGCACACACCACCTATGCTATTTTTCTCACTTGTCTTCACACGTAAGCAACCTCTCTAACTCAAAAGACACATCCTCTGTGGGATATACTTTGGTTTTAGCTCTTCCATTGGATAGTGATCCTAAAAAATACTACTGGTTTTGCAGCATGGAGCTTGTTCCCTTCAGCGAATTTCACACGGCGTTGGATAAGGCACTCGGAAAGCACGGAAGCCAGCCTAAGCAAGTCATAAAGTTCTAATCTTCCCTTTGGTTTGTACAAATATTGGAAAGGAATAAATAAATGGGCTCAAAAGTTGCATACATAACCAAATCTTCACAAGTTTTAGACGATTATAATCCACTTTTGGGAAGTGGTCTGGTCACTAACTCTTAGAAAGACAACCTTTTGCTACATAGGCCATACTAAAAGAATTTATTAAAAAAAGATGTTAAATTAAAGATGATAAAATGATCGTTTTTTGTCTGTAAATTTCATTGATTTCTGATATAAAGATGGTGATTATAACCAAATTTTTAATTATATCCGTGGAATTAACATGGTCCAATGATGCTACAACAATGCCAAAATCAACCGGTAGATATGCATTTTTTTTATTTCCAAAATCAACGCTCAAACTTATGTAAGCTATAAAAAGAATTATTAGCTAAAAGAAAATAAATTAATTCAAATATTTCAAGATGGTTTTGCTTAGAAATTAAATAAGTTGTTTTAATGAGAGTTTTTCAATTTATGATTACAAAAATGTACTCAAGGTCCAACACTTCTTGCAATGCAACGAGATAAATCTCAAGGTTAATGTTTAGTTTTTATTTTTTGTCTCTATCAATATAATACGATTTTATATGATTTTGAGAATGCGATAATATAAGATAGCATAAAAATTTGAAAAAAAATAAATCGACGTTATTATCAAATTAACTATTTACTAGTTCTCTTTTTTTTGGTGTAACTTCTTTAGTTCGATTTTTTTATTATAATTTAATTTAGTTTTAGTAATAAAGTAATTTATTTTTGGTTTAACAATATAATTTTTTTATAAAGACAATAATTAAACATAATAGAATTAAATGATTATCTTAATTATATTTTAGATTTTCTATAGTTAAAATGGATGTTTATCCTGTATTTGATTATGTTTATTTGTAGTTAGTTACATGAATTTAAAAATTGAGCTTTATTAAGTTGTATTTACGCAAAATTACTTGTAATCTTGAATTTTAAATAATATGCATCAATAAACAGTACTTCATACATTAAAAAAATGGTTTTTAAAAGTTTTTATTAAACAATTTATGATATAGTATAGATAATCTTGTTATCCTTTTGGTCAAGTACTTTCGTAGCAATATCACATATTTAAATTGGATAAATCTTTAATTAATGTAACAAAAAATAAAAACTTTTAATGCACAAGGTACAAGCCACTAAGGGGGTTGTTTGGTTGTGGCTTAACAGGCTGTATAAGCCATATGGACTTATTCAGTCAACCTATGGTTGAATTGTTCAGCTACAAAAATGAAGTCATACACTCAAGTGCCTTTTTCCTTAATACCCTTGGAAGTTAGAAAAAACAAGTCTTCATTCCATCCTCCTCCAACAAACCCTCTTCTAACTGTTAGGTTTTTGGTGTTCGGTTTTCCTAAATCGAGCCTTGATTTGAGATTCAAACTCATCGGTGATATAGTTCCTTTGAGAACTACATGGATTTGAGATTCAAACTCATCGTTGATATACTTGTTGATTTCTGGATTCTTAAATTTGGGTTCACCTGCGATTTCTAGGTTCTTAGATCTTTGCGATTTCTACAAGGTTCTTCTTGATTCGAACTCGCCAAAGATAGGGATGGGGGTGGGGTCCCTCGGAGAGGCAACAAAACCGGAAGGGTTCAAATTGCATTTTATCTAAAGGTTGTTTTAATGGGACAAAAATATAGGTTGAAGGATAAAATGATCATTTCTGACATTAAAATTGTTTATTCAGCACAACAACCAAACAACAACTTATCGGTTAACATACAGACAATTATATCCATACAGGTTTTAACAGATCACGAACCAAACAGCCCCTAAAGCAGTATTCTTAGGATTTGTTTTCACTCTTATAAATAAATTTGTTACAAATAAGCTGAATTTGGATAATACAAACACAAATAACAAATCCAGGAACCTGGGACTAGACCTTCTCACTGAAGACCACTTGATCCCCATTGCGATCCATCCTCACAATCAAATCCAAACCACCGTAGCCATGATCCTCCAAAAGACAAGCATCAACTCACTTGAATCATGATTAAACTTTGTTGCATTTTGACGTATTGGAAACTCGATAACATATCATATATTTTCCGTCAAAACTGAAGGGGTTCATACCACTCTGGACAAATGAACGGGATTCGTAATCAAGATTACACACCCGCTACACTATCCGGGTTGAACGTCAAAGTTTCTTTCCAAATGAGTTCCTTCACATCTTCCTCGCTTAAAGATGCTTGCTCGAAATCAAAGACAAACGGAGAGGAACAAGTAGGCTCCTCGTTGATCTCATGCAGGCTTTGCAAGAAAGGATGATTAAGAGCATCTTCGACTTTTAAGAACATGTTAACAAAGAGTAAACTGGATCAGATGTTAAGAACCGGAATGTCTATTTGGCACTTGTCAAAAAGGAAGAAGCTCTTACCACTTATGCGTTTAGATGGATCGAAAACTAACATTTTCTCTGCAAGATCTATCACTACGGGGGAGACCTTTGGGAACTTCTGCTGAAAAGTGTTGGTTGGGACATGAGGAAGCTGTTTGACATACCTCCGAGCATTATCACTTCTGAGAAATCCAAGATCTGCGTCATCTGGAGATCCTAGAAGCTGTGTTAAACAAAGAAACAAAAACAGGCGGTTACTTCTTCCATCGGTCTCAAAATAGGTGTTATGCTTTATAGATATAGGATAAATTCTTAAACCAGCCAATGATTTTAGTTTCGAGTTGGTGAATGACAAGAGAAAAGAAAAAGGATACTAGAACAGGGGTGTGTGTGGGGCCAACACAAGTACTTTTATATTAGAATAATTAATTTACAAATGGTGTTCATAGATCCGGAGAAAACATATGATAGTGTACCACGAGATGTGATTTGAAGGAGATTGGAGATGAGGGGTGTATCCTGGAGGTATATCAGGAGGGGTTCAAGATATGTAGGAGCGATCAATGACATGCATCAGGAGATTTCATTGATAAAGAGCTAATTCCAATAGACTTATTGGAGGGTCCTAATACCTAATGTCTCTCGAGCACAGGCTAAGGTTCAACCTCAGCCTATAAGGCTTCACCAAGGATCGACATTAGGCCCATTCCTACTTGCCGTGACCTTGGATGAGATTTCCCGTGGTGTCCAATGGTGTATACTATTTGCGGATGACATTGTGTTGATAGCATGAGTCCAGGTTGGAAGTGAAAGAAAAGTTAGCAGTGGAGGGGTGCATTGGACGGATGGACCCACGCATCAGTCACTCTAAGACGGAATACTTATGGTGCAATTTTAAGTGGAAGCCAACTTAGGGGTAAAGGTACCCCAAAAGAATAGTTTCAAGTAGTAAGTATCTAGGGTCGAAATTTCAGAAGAGAGATGAGGTCAAGAATGGCATAACACATCTTATAAGAAAGGGTTAGCTAAAGTGGAGGGCTGCCATGGGATGCTGTGACAAGAACGTCCCGCTAAAAATGAAGGGCAAATTTTGCTGGGTAGCCATCAGACCAACTATAGAGTATAGGCCTAATTGTAGGGCAACAAGGAAGGTCCATGAGAGGAAGTTGGAGGTTGCAGAAATGAGGATGCACAGATGGACGGGTGCGCAGACCATGTTCAATAGGATTCCAAACGAGGTCTACAATTCGTTGTTAGGAGTTGCCCACATCACAGATGAGTTGGGAGAAGAAAGAGTGCAGTGGTTTAGCCACGTTTGTAGGAGAAGCATGGCGACTCCAGTGAGATTCCAAGGGTAGAAAGTGTAAGGGTTGAGGGAGTGAGGAGAAGGGACAGGCCGAGGAGGACCTAGGAAACAACTTAGGTTAGACATGGCTTTAGGCATTTACAAGAACACGACCTCTGATAGAAGTTCTTGGAGACACAAGATTAGGGTAGCAAACTAGGGGTAGGGTCTGTAGAGCTAGCCTAGACAGGAGAAAGGAATCCGAAGAGGTAGAAGATAGGGTTAGTGAGTCAATGATTAGACCCCTGAATCCCAGGTTAGACTAGGGTGCGCAATCCTTCCTACCACGGTAAGATTTCAGTTTGCCAGCTTGATTTGGTTGGTTGCTTGCTTCTAACTCGTTTTTCAAATTTTAACATTCCCTTGCTTGTTTGGAAGTTCGTCTTTTTCAAATGTACTTTTTACACAAAAAATTGAACAATTTCTATCCTTTTTGCTCACTGTGCACAAGCCAGAGATCTTCACAGAAATTTTCGCTCTACTCTTCGAGGTCGCTTTAGGCGTGCGTACATCTCCACTACCCCAGACCCAACCTTCGTGTGGATATACTGGGCTTGTTTCCTTTGGTTTATTGGAATAAAAAATTTACAATTTGGAAATCGTGACATTTGCAGCAAATTTTCCGGATGGAGGGTGTCTTATTAAGCATGGATATGCAAGTTTGGAAGCTATAGTGAAGAGTTAGCAAACTTCATGTTATCTTCATAAAGTTTTTCAAAATTCTTAGAGGAAAGTCTACAGGTCATTGATTTGGATAATCCAAGATGCTGAACAGAAATCATGTCAAGTTCAATTCAACTTTCGATATGAAAACCAAAAATAAGCTGATCAAAACTGGGCAGAGGTCAGTCAGTACCTCTGTTATAAGCACCAATTGCTGAACGTAGTCTTTACCCGGAAACAGAGGCTCCCTCAGAATAATCTCCATTAGAATGCAACCAACTGACCAGATATCAATGGCTGTAGTATACTCTGAGCAGTTAAGCAACAACTCAGGAGCTCTATACCACCTGGTCACAACATATTCCGTCATGAAATCTGTCTCAGATGTCGTTCTTGCAAGCCCAAAGTCGCAAATCTTTAGGTCACAGTTCGCATTCAGAAGCAAGTTACTTGGTTTTAGATCACGGTGCAAAACATTTGCAGAGTGTACATACTTCAGTCCACGCAGTAACTGATAGAGAAAGTACTGCCAAGTGCAATGCAAATGTCGTAAAACGTTAAAGATTCATTTGAGGCTGAACAAATAAAGAAATTCAATATATTGTTAAAACAGAAGAAAGAAGAAGTGACAAACACCAAGTCCACAATGAAATAAAATGCAAGTCAAGTCGTCAGCAGCTCCAGCATACATGAGCACAAATGCCGCAACATCTTCTCGCATAATTTAAATCACCCCTTGGCCCTTTGATTGTGACAGCAACTCTTTTATTCAATTAGCCACTGATCCACACACAAATGTACAAGATACATTTTTAAGGAGTATATTTCACTTGGTGGAGGAATAGCTTATCTAAAGACCATAAGTTGTTTCCCCATTAACTATACATCCTGAAGCTCTAAACTGACATTAAAGAACAAATACTAACACCTTATATGTATTCAACTATATATATGTAGGCGCATAAATATATATGTGTATAAGGCGTGTGGATCTTCCACCCACATGCATTCTTTTAACAATAGAGGTTGGAGAAGAAAAAAATGGCTATACAGTCTGGGAAACTAACTGAGAGTTGAGACAGAGGCTGAACTCTCGCTCTCACCCATCTGATGAATTGTTATCGTATCCAACTCCTTTGACAAAGCTTCACCCTCCACAGCTATTCTGATCAATCTTTTCATTTCCATCTTTAGTTCTCTAAATAAATTTACTTTTGAGTGAAAAATTCATCTAAAAGTAGGCTTGCAAAGTATTTTCTAACATGAACCAAGCACCTGTAAGTGGTCAATGCTAAGGAAACAAATTTATTAATGAAATCATTTGATCATATAAATTTTCTTATAAAAAAGTTGAAGGCCCAACGAAGGGAAGCAATATGCCGATGCACTTGCAAATTAATGACCTCAATGACTAACATTGTGTGCATATGTCAAACTCAATAGATTATTGAATGAGACCAAGCACGTAACCTTCTGAAACATTAGGAACTTCTTTCTTTAGTCAGTATTAAATTATTAAATCGCCAACTGATCTGTATAGAGGTCTAGTTATAGCATCAGTTATTAGATCCTAACTTCCTAACTTACTTGCGATCCAGCTCGTGACATGGAATTAGTCAAGTTGCATCAAGTCGATTAGCTAAATAAAACTGGAAAAATAGATGCAAACATTAGAAAAAAGGGTCTAATATCACCATTCATTTAAGAGTTTTGGCTGTGTGATCAAGAACCAAGAAGGGCATCCTGATCTAATGATAAGTTCATTTAAGAGAAACAAAAATGGGTTGCAAAAAAGGGTACAATAATAATGGTCTTACTGGCAACATGTGAATAACAATCTATAAGCTCTTGCACAAGCAAAGTTGAGTCAAAGGTTGTGCAAATTTTATGTTTGAACTATTACTCCTATTTGGAAATTCAAAACGTGTTTCAGTGCCCTATCTAACCATTCCCATTCCATTGGTTGTCCTTTCTGGTAAGCATTGCTTATGAGAGGATAGTAAGCAAGTATTTCTAATTATACATTTTCTTTTGTTGCGTGAAAACTTGATTTTTTTTTCTTTAATGTGTTGTAATATAGATATACAGAATGGCCCAGCCCATAAGCCCTGCATGCAAACTCTAACATGGTTATAACATGTAAAATGATGTCAATATGAAGCCTTGCAGTAGCATTGTCGCCAAAACATGTAAACACCAATATTAGGTCATGCAACATCCAAAATTCAAATCATGGGAAACCATACTATGAAGTGCTTGTTACTTCTAAGAGAGAAACCGAAGATCCATGATCTGTCTTTATAAACTCACCTGACAATGGTCATCTGTTAGTGCCTGAGAAGAGCGAATTATCTGATGCAGATCGGTATCCATCAATTCGTACACAATGTAAACATCATTGAACTTCTCTTTATCTGGTGGCCGAATGATGTCCTTAATTTTGACAATCTGCAATATTCATGTATTAGATACTGAGTTAGAGATTTCAGAATAACACAATACAACCAAAAAGGTTCGGTTAACATCCACATTAATGCACATACCAAAATATAGCTGCTAGAAAGTAAGATATGCATCAAAACATATGGCCCCAGTTGAATAACAACAATGCAACGTGTATCAAGCTTTGTGTTTCATATATAAGACACACAGATTGGATAAAGAACCCGTAATCAATGTGAAAATGTACATACATTCTCATGATCCATATGGCAGAGGAGTTTGATTTCCCGTAGAGTCCTCTTGGCATCAATGTTGTTATCAAATGCATTCCCAATTTTCTTGATTGCAACTTCTTCTTTTGTTTCAGAATTTTTAGCACAACTACAAGAGATAAGCAGTACCACCCAATTACATTATGTCAATAGAAAACAAATGAATAAGCACAATTTTTTGTAATGAACAGGCAGCTGGGGAGATAATAAGATGTGAGGATCACAACTTTGCTTTCGACAGAGGATACAATCCCTCCATTAAAGCAACAGAATCAACAAACATGTGATGATTAGGGGGTGCTTGGTTGGGATTGTTAGAAGGTAGGGAATGGGAATAATTGGGATGCTTGGTATGATATAAATGTATAACATGATGACCTATTACCCTATAATGGGTAATGGACAATCATTGAGCAAATTGGGGGGTATGAGTGTAAGGAGCTATGCTGTTATATCGGTCAGAATACAAAATATCGGTCAGGACCGATATTCGATATATCGGTTATATCGGTGATATATCGGTCCAAAATAGCGATTAACATAATATTTCTTAGAATTATATATATAATATGCATTAATTAGAGTTTAGAAATATAGTTTCAAAATTAAAACATCACATCATCTAAAGTGTTCAAAAACGAGCTAATATAAAAGAAAGAAGAAGACCGTTGTGGAGGCAGATCAATTTCAGACCTAATTTAAGTTACCAAGCCCAAAAAACTAGGCCCATGAAGTAACAAAAGCCCAAATATTTAAACCCTAAAAAATCGATATATCGGTTCGATATTTGCATCAAAATATCGCTAAAAATCGGGAAAAATCGGAAAATATCGCCGATAATATCGGGGACGATATTTTGACTGATATTTATGGACCGATATTTTCTCTAGGAGCGATATCCGATATATCGCGATATTAACAGCATAGGTAAGGAATGAGAGGCCACATCTCACAACACGCTTACCAAATAAAAAACCCTTGCCCCTCGAAGTTCCCCTACCCTCTGCTTGGTGAACTACCTCACACAGTCGCTGGTCTGTATTCAACACTCCAAGCCATCACTGATTCACTGGCTCACTGCCCCCACAGCCTCTACTCTGTGAACTACCTCACCTCTTTGCTAATCCATGGCCTTCCGCGCTGCATCGGCACTGCCACACGGCCTCTACTATGTGAAATCAACAGTTATATTGTCGTCTATGGTTTTGTTGAAAAAACCACATGTCGATCTCAATTTTATACCTAAAAACTCAATTAGTTATGTTAAATTTATTTACTTCTCGTCATCACCAGCCTCTGTACATTATGCAATGACCATTCCCTTTCCCCGGTGTCAACAAAACAGCACCAATTCAATGACCATTCTTAGTCTCATTCCCCATGCATTCCCATTCCCACTAAGCACCGCTTAGCAACAAGAACCAAACGCCCAACTTTCTAACAAGCTCACCCATTACATAGGGCTTCAAGAAAAGCAAATCAAGTTGACAAGCCTAATATTGGAACCAAATCTCCTGATCCATTTACTCGGTAATTCCAATTTTACAAGATCAAAAGAAAAAAACACAAAAAGAACAGCTATAATTCAAGAAACGGGTGCTACCGTTAATTGACAAGAGAAAGTGTTCAAAAAATTAATTAAAATTATATGCTAACTTTAGTTCATGGACCAAAGGAACTCACTACAGACGGCTTTTCTTCATCCATTTCGGAGTTTATTTACACTTGACCAACATCTATGGTAAACACTCGCTCCGTTCATATAAACTGCATCAATTTTCATTCCGAATGTCCACTATTTAAACCTCAACATTTCCATTTTAGGTCAATTTTCAACATAAACTTCACATCTATTAACATCATTACAGTTGCTAGGGTATTGATTGACATTCACAAAACTTAAACATTAGACCGTCGATATCACATTACATCAATTGTCCCCCAAATGCTGCAACTTTCAGCTAAACAAAAGCGTGCAGGGCATCACAAATCTCTCAATACCAAGTTCTTGTAAAGCCGCGCGAATTTCGAGATACAGAAACTTAAATTTGACAAACACAAAATATAAAGACGAGTTAAAGTGATTACCAAACGATGCCGTAAGCACCACGGCCGACAGGTTGAATGGGAGGAACATATTTGGAAGAAACCTCAAATAGGTTTCCAAGTACGCTGTAATGAATGTATTTCCCGCCGTACGCTGGAACTCCTTTTAGCACTAACCCTTCACCTTTGGAATCATCGCCCTCCATTGATTGATCTTCGGTAGAAGACTATTGTTTTCCGATAGAGAATTACTCCGGATTAAAAATCGAAGGAGCAAGAGGATTGAGGGTACTAGGACTACACTGTAACACTGGTGGTTTTTCGATTTTGAATTGGGAAAAGCATCGAAGTTCGTGAAAGATAAATACCATTTTGAATAAATTACATGTTTGGTCCCTATACTTATCCCAAATTTGCATATATGGTTTATAAATTTAATTTTTTTACGCCAGTGGTCCAAGATCTAACTATTTCGAAGTGATTAAACTTTGACCTTTTAGTAAATTACGGATTTGGTCCTTTTATTATGATGAAAGTTACATTCTCGTCCCTGAACGTTTATTAACAAAATTTTGTTCGATTTTGGTCCCTTCACCCAACATCGTTCAAAACCTATCATTATGTGTCATCACATTACACATACACCGCACATGAGGTCAAAAACGTCTTTTTATTCTTCTTTCGCCCTAGATCCTCTATCCTCAACTCAAAAAACACTTGAAAACCCTATTTAATTTCACATAAGCATTAGATCTTGTAACAATAACAATACAACTTTGTACAAAGTCGTTCAAAAATGTGTGATACAAAACACGCGAATATCAATATCAACTATGAACATCAACCCTATGAACTCAATAACATAAACAATTTTGTGCATTTTAGAATTACTAGAAAAGTACTCAACCACTGCGGACCTCCACCGATCTAAACCACCATGGACCACCACCGTGGACCACTCTCGATTTAGTAACGTCGTTTGACTTATGGTTATATATGGGTTATATATTTTATATCATCTTACATATTAAAAAGTTATTTTATTAAAGTATTTTTAGTTTTATAAAAATTTAAATTTAAAAAAAAAAGTATTTTGGTGATTTACCAATGTTTCAATCCAATTCCAAAGCTACATTCTAGAACCAAACAAACAAATTTCAATTTCTTAACAAATTACATTCTAATGTATGTCAACCAAACATGTGATCAAACCTGACAATATTTCATTTCAATTCTTTTAAAGTCAAATTCTTATAACAGATTTCATTTCATCCAAAAATATTTTGTGAATCAAACCCAGATGAGGATTCAATTGTTAAAACTAGAACCATAAGATAATATTCATGATGTTTTTATACTTTTATTTCAATATTATCTTTTGTTGTTTGCTTTAGCTTCTTAGCTTTATAACAATACTAGAAGTGTATTTGCACAATGCACTTCATTTTAAAGTTTCGTTTTTTTTTTGTTTCAGTCGATGTTATAATACTGTTTTATGTGGTTTTGAGAAAACGATAATGTTTTTATTTTTAAATAAAATATAAATATGAAGATATCATAAAAAATTTATAAAAAAATATTGATTTTAGTACCAAACTAACTATTTAAAATTTCTCCATTTTTTATTTATCTATTTAATTCATTTTTTTTTTAATATAATTTTTTATAAGATAATAATTAAGTATTTTGTTAGAAGTCAATGATTATTCTAATTATATTTTATATTTTTTATATTTAAAATGAGATGTTTGTCCTTTATTTGATTATGTTTATCTGCAGTTAGTTACACGAATTCAAACATGAAGCTTTAATTAGTTGTACTTACGCTCAAATTACTTTGTAAAGTTGAATTTTAAGTAATATGCATCAATAAACAGTATTTCATGCATAAAAATGGCTTTTAAGAGTTTTTGTCGAATGTTTTATAATATAGTATAGATATTTTTCTTTAGCTCTTATCAGTATGTTGTATGATTTTTAAAACATTTTATTTATACTTATTAAATTGAATTTTGTATTTCTTGTTGTTTAAATGATTCCTTTATGCTTACAAAATATACAATTTTTTTCCTTAATATTCTCATGTTGTAAACCTATTGTACAATCTTTAATAGTTTTAGACATCATGACTTAATAAATAATTTTGATGGTAATTATAAGGGTAATGCATGATTGATTTGAACTTGACTCCAAAGATCAAAAGTACTAGGAGGTCTCAAGTTCAAATTCAATGAGGAATAAAAATCTTCTTGTGGCCACGAAGGTTTAAACCGGTGACTCCGAGCTATCTGCAAAGCAGATGGTCACCTTGGGATTTGTCGGCTCGCATAGCGGGGATATTCAGGTTAATCAAAAATAAAATTCTTTTTGATGGTTGGCTTATAATATACCAATAACGTCAACACCAACTCTAGCACACAAAAAAGTCTGGCAAATTGGTAGGGACATAGACAATAAAAACCGTCTTATTTTCAAGGACACATCATTTATGTCGTTAGAATTGGAGACCAACATACCTTTTTTATCCATCACCGCCAAATTAGTTCTCTTTGCCGGTCGGTCAGAGTTTAAAGGCCGTAAAAACGCTATTTTAGCATTGGAGTTGCCATAAGGTCATAGAAAATTACTAATTGATACTGGTCCAACATCATTCGGTTTATTACTGGAAACCAGTCTCTTCAATAGACAAAAAGTTTAAGTCTCAACAAAGATGAAAAAGATGTATGAATTTTGTCGTATATAAATATTATACTTGATAAAACGTAATAAACGATTCACACTAAAAAAAAGCAAATAAAAATCAAGGTTTGCACATGAGCGTTAAACTTGATTATTCTCGAGTAATATTTTGTGTAACCGTACTATACAATGTCGAAATATTACTATAGAAAAATAATTTCTACACGATCCACGTTTCACATCCAAATATGTTATTATTGTGTTTTCACAAGACTCGATTCACAATCTCGAACATATCGGTTTTGTTGGGCCACAATTTCGAGTGCCTATCAAACAAAAAACATCGAAGCTATATTTGAATGTATGATTGGGACAAGTTACATTAGTTTCGAGAGGTATCGCACTCGTGGCATTGGGTCAAATTTAATGAACGTGATTGGAGAAAGACGAAACAATATGTTGAATGACTGATTTATAAAACCAATAAATCTATTTAATCTATATATATATATTAAAGAAGAAACCACATGCAATGATATGGCCTCTTCTCAAAGATAGAAAGTGTTTTATCCTTTCTCTTCCTTTTCTCAAGCTTTTCTCACCTCAATATTTATTTTTGATTTTTAATATTCTCTAATTACTTCAACCTAATCATGTTCTCTCTAATAATTGATGTTTTAATTGTCATTATTTCTCTTTTTTCGGTTATAATTTTTCATCTTCTTTTCATGGTATATCTCTATGATAATCTATCTATTAATCTCTCAATTCTTCCTCTCTATTCAATTATAATTTTGTGRAGGCGATTTGTATTTTTGTTGATTTGAGGCATCATTCAATAAGACAAATCATGGTGAATGCGATTTGTATTTTTGTTGATTTGAGGCGTCATTCAATAAGACAAATCATGATATGGGTTTTTGTTTATGTAAGTATAATATTTCGTCTTTTAGTCAGAGACATTCACACTAAAGTTGGAATTATGTAGGCATATAAATATTTTTTGTATCGATAAAGTGTCATACGAATCCTTGAGGAAATAAGGTAACATTGTTTAAGCATAACAATCTCTCTTAATCTCTCAATTATTCCTCTATTCAGTTTTTGTGGAAGTGATTTGCATTTTTGTTGGTTTGAAGCGTAATTCAAGAAGACAAGTATGATATGGATTTTTGTTGATGTAAGTATAGTACTTCGTCTTTTAATGGAGACATTCACACTAGAATTGGAATTATGCAAGCATATGAATCTTTTTTGTGTGAATAAAATGACATATGAATCATTGATGAAATAAGATAACATTTTTTAAGCATATGTAGAACATAAAAGTAAGTTTTTTTTTGTTTGTTTATCCATTAACTTGATAAACTTATTGCTAGAATATTTTTGCATTGATGCTATAAGAGTGTATCAAGAAAGATGGTTTATGATTTTTTCAGATCGGTAATCTTTCATATGTTTGTTAAGACATCAATGTTGATCGGTCTATTCCGATTTTTTCTTTCTTTAGCATTGTGTTTGAAAATTATTTTCTAATATTTTTAATTCTTAAAGGAGAGACCAAACATAATAAGGTGTCATCCTTTAAATATTAGAAACATATCTTTCTTTTCTCTTTATTTTTTAAAATATTTGATATATGTAAAAAAAATTCATGTCCCTGTATTTAAAACATGAAATTTATTAGGATAAAATTGTTTTGGTAATTTTTAAAAGTTTAACCTACAACCTTATCATCTTCATTTTTGGATGTGAAACCTCCAAACCCTTTCATGTGTTCCTCTATGATTTGTCCATCAATAAATCTTTTTTTCTTCTTCTCTATTATTTGAAGTATTCTTCATTTTACAAACCATTATTATTCAACAAACTCTTTTTTCAGGTAAAACTTTTTTCGCTCTCTTCATCACTTGATTTCTTCTTTACATGTGTGTGTGTGTGTGTGTGTATATATAATATTATATTATTTTGAAAACAATATATTTATTAAATGATTGATCATACAAGTTTCAATTATTTTTCTTTTGTACACCATACATATTGACTTTTATTATTTTCAAGTCAAATAAAATATTACACAAAATTTATATTAATATATAAAACTAAAAAAACGTGCTAAACATTTAAAATCAATATATAGATATAAATGAAATTAAAATTGATATATAAATAGGAATCCTTATTAA